ATCAGCGAGTGATCCCCTCCCATCACGTTAGGCGTCTCCTGCGCATCGCCGCTCCGTTTTCCACGGGGGAAATCACTCGTTCTCCTCCTAGCCCGAGGGGCGGCTGTTCTCCCCGGGTGGAGCCGAGAGCTCGAGGATGCGGACTCGAGGCAGGTGGGAGGACGAGCTGGGGGAGGCCTGAAAGGCGATCCGCGGCTCATCTCCGCGCCACCCACAGCGTTTTCTCTGGCAATCGCTTGGGAAACCAAAACAAGTCTAAAGCCCTTTTGACAGAAATAGCGCGTTCAGACGAAAGGTGCGTGCACGCCCCAACCAACTTTCCGCACAGTTCAGCTCGGCCCCGGACCTTCCGCTCCGTTCACCCCGCCATCGGCAAATCTGTCCCATCTCTGCACTTCCCGCGGAGGGGAAAACTTTCGTCTGCCGGAGCGGTGTCCTTTCCAGCAGACAGAGAGAAGGGCGGCGGGGAACGATATTGGGAAAGCCGCGTTCATGGCTTCAGGGCCACACCTCCCCGAGATGCCCAAGCAGCACCATTTTATCTTCCTCGCCCGCTTTTCCCCCTCGCTTGCCATCAGCGATCTCATCCGTCAGAGCAAATCCCGCTTCCACTCCCCACCCCCCAAAAGTGAAGAAAAAGAGCCAAGAGCCATCCACAGATTTTCTCCCAGGCACGCGGCTCCCCTTAAGAGCGACGCGAAGGAGAGCAGAGGGCAAGGTGAACCAACGCCGAGGTCGCCTCAAGGGAAAGGCGAAGGGGAAGGGAGGAAGACGTCGTCCACTTACGCACTGCCTCCTGCTTGGGATCCAAACTGTGTAAAATGGTTTGGACGCCGCCAATCCGGCTGTGCAGCGCCTGGACCCTGCGGTGCGTGAGCTGGATCTCGCCCTCGATCTCTTGGAAGAGGGTGCAGGCATGCTTGGCCACATCGGAGAGCTGCCGGAGGATCCGCGAGAGAGCCACATTGCTGACCGAGCACAGATCCAACATCATCGCCGCCGCCGCCGCCGCCGCCGCCTCCTGGTTCTCCTTCCCGTCGGCGGGGAGCGCGGCAGCTAGCCCAGCCGGAGCCTCCTCCTCCGGCTCGTCCACCGCCTCCCCGGAATCCTCTCGGTGGCTCCCGGGCTGAGGAAGCTCGGAGCCGGAGCTCTCGTCCAGCACCGAGGCGATGTGCTGCCGCCGGCACAGCCTCTGGGGCTCCACGATCCTCTTGGCGAAGGGCATGACCAACCCTGGGGCGTCACGCTTTCTGCGGATGCCGCCGCTTCCCAGCCCGCTTTCTCCTCCCGAGCCCACCAGCCAGCCGTCCAAGCAGCGAGCCTCAGCTCTCCGGGCTCTTTGCAACCCGGCTGCGGGACCGGGCGCTGCTTCCACTGCCGCCTTCTCCTCTCCCAAGCCCCTTCACTTGCTAACAGCCGGCATCGGAAGACGCGTTATCCCCCATGGTGATCTCCTCCGCGGTCTGGGTCCTTTCGCTTTCGGAAAGCGGCCACTGCGCCGCGTCCCCGGCCACCTTCGTCGCCTGTTTATCAGTCGCTTCCCTAATCCCTCCTTCCTGCCTTCTTTTTCCTGCTCCCTGTAAGCTTCCTCCTTCTGTCTCCCGTCTCTCGCTGCCCGACACAGCTCCAGCTTTCAACGCGAGAGAGCGGGATGGATTTTTAAAAGATGGCTTGAAAACCCGGAGAAAGGAATTCGCCCAAATCTTTTGTGAGGAGGAGCAGGCAGGCAGGCAGGCAGGCAGGGAGAGACACCCGCACTCGCATAAAAGAGAAAGCGAGAGGTATTCCCCCTCGTGACCGCCTGGAGTCACTGCAGATTCCGAGCAGCCGCTGTCTGCCAATGCACCATCAATGGGCAACAGGATGGAAATGGGAGGGAGGTGCGGGGGGGGGGGGGGGGTTTTAAAAGTTTGGCAGCTAAAGCAAAACACCTCTTGCAAGACGGGCTCATGAGGAGAACAAGAGATGCGCGCGCGCAT